CCAGGGCACGGGAAGGAGGGGCAAGGGGGGGTCGCGGAAGCCCTGCGGGAGGGGGCCAGGCAGACGCAAAAGCTGCACTGCCAAAGGGAAGGGGGGAGGGGACAGGGCAGGCGGCTGTGGGGCACAGACCTTTGTTTGAAAGGAGGGAGCCCTGTGCCCAGGGGAGAAGTAAAGAGCAAAGTCTCTGGGGAAAGTTCCCCGGAGCAAGAAACAGGCTCCAGGAGCGGGTAGTTCGTACGCTGGCCAGCTGCCTGGCTCTTCCTCCAGCCACTTGACCCTTCTTTATCTGTGCAATACCCTGCCTGTCACCCAGCAGAGGGCAGGGCGCACGGGCTGTTTAAACACCTTGGCGGACAGGCTACTAAAACCCATCTGACACTTCCTGTGTTGCAGGTGATGAATCTCACACCCGGCTCCGCTGGTTCCAGGGACAAAGACCGAAGCTTTTGTTAGACTATTTTAGGCGAAGGTAACTTGCCTGGGGTCTGCTGTTACAGAATAAAGCTCTGGGTGCAGAAGGCAGAGGGGGTAGCTTCCCCAGTTTTTAGCAAGCAGTTAAGAATTGCCGGTGCGCCTCAGTAGAGAGCAGGCGCGCCCTGCTCTAGCGGCATAGGAACCGAACAGTTTTCATGTATACAGTGTTTTAAATTATTTGTTTTCTGAAGTTAGTGCAGCTGCTCTGGCAACAAGAGGGCAGGATCAGTTTACTTGAAGAGTAGGAGCCGACAGTCCATTTTAGCAAGCGCTTTGTATAAAGGCGCAGTTCTGTACATAACACACAACGTGCATGTGGTGTGAGCAGCGGGGTTGTGTACATTTGCCGCAAGCGTGCGCTTACTGCTCCCTCTCCACCGGTCTGCGACTGGTCACTCCCCCGACACTACGCCCCTTTCTCCCTGGTGTTCCAATGGTACCTTCAAACCAGGGGGAATTCAGTTTTCCACTACAGGGAACTCATGTACATAGCAGAACGAGCGCATTCTGGAACTATTTATGGTATTCTAAAAAGAAAATAATGTGTTTTGAGGAGACAAACTATTTATGGGATTCTAAAAAGAAAATAATGTGTTTTGAGGAGACACGGCAGCCGTCACGCAGCACGGGTGGAATCCTCGAAGTAGCTACCCAGAGGATGTTTTGTAACTTTTTTTTTTTTAAATAAAGCAGACTGCAATGAAAGCTGTTGTGTACAGGAGAACTTTGTATAACATTTGACTAATAAAATAAGACAATTCAAAGGCTCATGCATCTCTCTCTTGGGTTAGGATTTTACCTAAGCGCTCCAGTGCCCTGCCACACAAATTACTACAGCTCGCCCTTCGTGCAAATAGCTTTCAGGACCGGCTTTGACAGCCAGAGTTTGAAGGGGGGGGAAGAAAGGAGACATCCATGTTGTCAGGACCGATAAGAAGTCTTGTTGCTCCTTATAGAGTAACATATGTCTACACTTGCACCCTCTTTCGAGAGAGGGATACAAACGAAGACATTCAAAATGGCAAATGAAGCTGGGATTTAAATATCCCGTGTTTCATTTGCATAATGGAGATATTTTGAAATAACAGATGCTGTTAAGACGTGGTTATTTCGAGAGAAAACCCTTCTCGCAGTAACTGGTAAACCTCATTGTATGAGGAATAAGGGTTATTTCAAGGGAAGGGTTTTCTCTCAAAATAACTGCATCTTAACCGCATCTGTTATTTCGAAACAGCGCCATAACGCGAATATGCAAATGAAGCACAGGATGCTTAAATCCCAGCTTCAGTTGCCATTTCGATGTCTTCGTTTGTATCCCTCTCTCGAAAGAGGGTGCAAGCGTAGACAGACCCTAACAGATGTCTTGGAGCATGAGCTCTCGTGGGCAAAGCCCCCACTTCGTCAGACGCAGGTAGTGGAAATTCCAGAGGCCGGTATAAATACGCAGGCATAAGAAGAGTTCCAATCGCGAGTGAGGCTGGCGATAACGAGGTCAGTTCAGTCAGGGAGAATGAGTCGCGAGTGAGGCTGGAGGTAACGAGGTCAGTTCAGTCAGGGAGGATGAGGCCCACTTCTAGCAGCACAGAGTTCCAGGCTGATGCTGCTTGCGAAGGGCTGGGGATGATCCCTCCCCACCAGCCCTTCTGGACCTGGCTATAGGGCTGGACGCAGGCAGGGTATCAAGCAGCGGGTGCTGTTGGATTTTCACTTGCTCCAGGGGGCTGAGCCTCTTGCCTGGGACCCACGGCACCAGGGGTGGAGTCTGCGATCCAGCAGGCATTTCTGCCAGAGCTCTGACCCCAGGCACCGGGGGGCTGCCCTACCTGCAACAGTGCACACCCAGGGGTGAGGGGAAATTCTTCGAGGCCCACTGCCCGGAGAAGAGGTTACTCCCCCAGCCCTCCGGGAGCAGCGCAGAGTCCAGCTGCAGTTTTCCAGAAGAGGCCTGACTGCCCCTGCCCTGAGCAATTCAGTGATCCTGCCTTTCCTGACGTAGGGAGCGTCTCCCAGGAACGGTCACAGCGCTAGTCCTGTGTGAGGCAGGGCCCGGCTGAGCTCCGTCCTGGCTTCAATTGCCACAGCAGCAGGGCGCAGCCTTCCTGGACTCTTCCCCCATCATGTCACTCCCAGTCTAGGATTTAAAGAGGTCCTAGACACGATGGAGGCTAAGCAGTGATGAAGCCCTAAGCCTACACCTTGGCTGTGTCTAGACTGGCAAGTTTTTCCACTAAAGCAGCTGCTTTTGCGGAAAAACTCGCCAGCTGTCTACACTGGCCGCTTGAATTTGCACAAGAACGCTGATGATCTCATGCAAGATTGTCAGTGTTCTTGCAGAAATACTATGCTGCTCCCATTCAGGCAAAAGCCCTCTTGAGCAAATGCTTTTGCACAAGTGGGCCAGTGTAGACAACACGGTATTGTTTTACTAAAAGCTGTGGGGTGCAGCAGCAGTGTAGCTTCCATCTGCCCCATGGAGCTGGACCCTGCAAAGCTTGTTGTGAGAAATGCAGGATTACACATTTCAATAGTCACGCAAACCCCTAGCAGATCTGGCAGCGTTTGAAATGCTCCCGTCAGAAAGGGAGACCTGACTTTTTACAAGCAGCTGACGCTCAGCTTGTCCAGGGACAGCCAAAGAGAAAGGAGTTTGCCATCCACCACCAAGGAGCCACTGTGCTGCTTTCAGCAAGGGAAAGCCACCAGCCCTGCATTCAGCAATAGTGAGACAGGAGAGTCTAGGAATTTGGCTGCATGCTCCCTTTAAAGGCCAAGCATCCTACTTTGGTGATGGGTGAAGACAGGGCCACACCACATTAGAATTAAGAGCTGAAGTGTGTTAAGTGCAGGCCTTGTAGCACAACTGTGAAGGGGAAGCAGGGGACAGAGCGCACTTGGATTTCCAGAAAGCCTTTGACAAAGTTCCTCTCCAACAGCTCTTAAGCAAAGGAAGCAGATGGGCTAGGAGGACAGGTCCTCTCATGGGCTGGTAACGGGTAAGATGACAGGAAACAGGCTAGGAATAAACGGTGTTTTCAGAGTGAAGAGTAACCAGAGGGGTCCATACTGGGACCAACCCCATTCAACCTGTTCATAAGTGATCTGGGTAAAGAGTGACACGGCAAAATTTGCCCATGACAGTTGCTCAAGGTAGTTCCTTGGCGAGATCCTCTTGTAGTTTAATCCCAACTGGGATGACTGGGCAACCCAATGGCCAATGTGTTTATCGATATGAAACTCGATAATGCACCTTGGGAAACACTCCGGACTATCGGTTTAAAATGGGGAGGGGCTAACAGAGCTGTTACTGCTGCAGAGCTTGGAGTCACTGTGGAGAGTGAACGTTCCCAGAGAACCACGTGTGGCCATGGACAAAGAGAGCAAACCATGTTGGGAGCCAGTAAGAAACAGACCATATGTTGCCTCTGTAGGAACCTAGGGTGTGCCCATGAATGGAATACTGCGTGCAGATGGTTTACTCATCTCAAAAGAAACTGGAATAGGAAAAGGTTCAGAAAAAGGGCAACAAAAAATAGAGACTTGGAACAGCTTCTATTTAAGGAGAGAACAGAATGGCCATGCTGTGTCCGACATTAGCCAAGGCCCCAGAGGGAATGAACAGAGCAGGGAATCAAGTGATTCCTCCCAACCCCGGCTTCTGACAAACAGACTAGGGCCACCCTTCCTGTCCACATGGGCTAGTAAGCATTAGTTGAGAGATTCATATTTAGACTGTTCAGCTTGAAAAAAAACACATGGGGAGATATGGCTGGGTCCATAAAATCAAGACTGGCATGGAAAAAGCAGCGCTATTTACTCCTCATAGCATGTGGGCTGGGGAAAGGGGATGTCACACCAAGTGAAATAAGCAGCAGGTTTAAGAGACAAAAACCAAGGAAGCGTTTTCCACACAATGCAGAGTCAACCTGTGGAACTCCTTGCCAGAGAATGTGGTGAAGCCAGGACTTCAGCAGGGTTCCAAAAAAGCGCTAGATACATTCATGGAGGATACGTCTAACGCTTATTAGGCAGGATAGGCAGGAATGGTGTCCCTAGCTTCTTCCAGAGCTAGGAATAGGCAACAGCATGGCTCACTAGATGCCCTGTTCTGTTCATTCCCTCTGGTGCATCTGGCACTGGCGAGAAGACAGGATGAGGCTAGATTAAGTGAATAGTCAAGGGGATTTCCATCAACTATTCCGTTAGTCTAAGGGCACCACTGCCCAACGGGCTCTTGTTGCAGTTCAAAGGCAGAAGCCCCGCAGGGAACAGGGGTGGCTCCGTTCTCCCTGCGGGGCTTCTGCTTTTGAAATGTACAAGAGCCCACTTGGGAGTCTGGTACTTTTCAAACGCAGAATCGCAGCAGAAGTGGCGCGAGCGGAGAATGCTTCAGTCCCCACTCGTGCCGTTCCCCACTGTGCCTCTACCTCCCCTGTCCCTCGCAGAGACAGTGCTGGGGGGAACCAGCTTTTAAGCCAGCTGGCCACCCCCCCAGCACTGTGTCCTATTCTCTCCCCACCTTGCTGCCTCTATGCGGAAAGGGGGAGAATGACTAGTCGACTATCCAATAAGCTTATGCTTATCCAATAGTGACGAGTCGCTTACATCCCTAGACTGGATAGTCCTTTGGACCCAGCGTGGCCGTTCTTGTGATGCGATCGATTCCCCTCCCCATCGTTAGTAGGGACAGAGCAAGTGGCAAGAGATGGGTATCTGACTTGGTGTCTTGGCTGCTCTGGAGGACAGCCCAGAGTAGCTTTGAAAGCCAAGCCAAGGATGCTCAAGTCACTGCTTTTCCTTCTAGCTGGATGGCTGAAGGCCAAGCCAGAGACCCTGGTCTCTGTCAGGCCTCGTTTAGGATCCTCAGCAGCTGTTATTTGTACAAAGTGGAGTGAATCAGACCAGAGCACAGGACTGGTTTCCAGAATTTGGCTTTACTTTGCAGTACAGAAATCATGTGAGCCATTTCAAGAGACATGAGAAGCAGAGGCTCTGTCATATCAATACTGCAGTGCAGTTTGGTCCATCCAGAAAGCCACATGGGTACAGAAAATACGGTCACGTCAGGCCTGCTTTGTAATTTGTTCTCTCAATTTTATTAGCTTGACACAAAGGAACCTTAGGCACAGGGGTCCCAACTGATGTAAGCCATTCGAGAAGCCTACGGGCAGGTTAGGGTCTGTGCCTAAAAACTATGCCAACATTTGCTGCTACAACAGATGTGGGCTTTGTCCAGAATACAACTTGCCACAAAGTTAAGATTGATGGGAAAGACTTTAGGGATGCTGTCCACAATGGAGTGCTCAGTTGAGAGTTTTCACTGTATCAGCTCTGAATGGCTTCGGTCAAGTTCACTGATCCACCATAAGCAGCACGTTATTGGGAGGCAGGGTTACAAATGAGTCGAGACAAAGGGAATGGAGTTATTTCAGTTTGCACCAAAGTCTAGGTCTGCCACCCAGAGGTCAGCAGTCCGCTTTTGCTTACAAGGTTAGTGAACAGTTAAATCAGTGTCAGTAATTAGCCAGATTCTGGACAGCAGCCCTACAGGAATGA